TCTTCCTCTGGCTCCCTTCTTCGCTCCGTCCTCGCTCCCCTGTGATTCGAGGGCGTGCCGTGGTGGCTGCGGCTGAAGCATGGCCACGCACCGCCCAACGGCCTGAGGGCGTTCCCCCGTCTTTTCTGCTAAGTCGTTCCACCTGTTTGGCCGTCGTTCTGTCTGTCCCGTCGTCTTGTCTGTTCCGTCGTCTTGTCTGTTCCATCGTCTTACCTGTCCCGTCGTTCTGGCTGTTCGGTCTTGTTCCTGTCTCTTCTGTCGGTTTCCTTGCTTGGTCGTCGTGTTTGTTTTGTCGCTCTGTCTGTTCCGTTGGTCGTTCTGTTTGCTGCGCCGTTCCGCTTGTTCGGCTGCCTTGTCTGTTCAGTCAATCCGGCGCGCCTGTTCGTTCGTTCTGCTTGTCTTGCGTGTTCTGTCGTTCTGTCTGTTCCGGCGTCTTGCCTGTCCAGCCGTCCCGCCTGCTCAGTCGTTCTAGCTGCTTATCTATCAAGTCGCGCGGCCTGTCCATTCGTTCGGCCCGTTCAGCCGGTCCGCCTGTCCAGTGGTTCTGCTTGTCCCGGCGTTCCGCCTGCTCCCTCCGTCTTTTTGGCCATACATTCGGCCGGGCCAGTCGCTTCGGCTGTTCAGCCGCCGCGCCGGTGTGCAAGCGGAGCAAAGTAGCGACGCACCTGCGCACCGCGACAGAGCGACGCGGTGGCGGGGTGCATAGTATCCGCGGAGGCTTGCGCGCTTGTGGCCTGTGCTCTCACTGTGGTGGGTGGCGAAGCACGTCCAAAAACCCCAAGGCGGCGAAGGTTTTCCGGGTGCCGTTATCGGTTTCGCCTGGGTCGCTTATCCATCGGCTTCGGCCTTTGAACACCTAGGGAGCAAACCCGCCAAAAAGCAAGACGCACGGCGAGGCCCCACAGATGGGGAATGGCCACAACGCAGAACGCAAACGCGGGAAAAAGGCCAAAAAAGCGAAGACAAAACGCAAAGAGCTGCCGGCCGTTATGCGAGTCCCTTAGCGGTTTCGGCTTGCCTAAGTTCTGTCCCTTAGCAGTTTCGAACTTCGTGCGGGCATCGGTTTCGAGTGGGTCCCCGCGAAACTCTTAAGCGAAACCGTCAGGGGACAGCGTTCCTTCGGTTCCCTTGTCGGTTTCTCTGCCCCCTTTTTCCCCCATTTGCCTCCCCCGGTCTTGCTCAAGGCGTGGCCGCGTTTTGCTCTTGGGCCGTCCGCTTTGTTATCGGTTTCGCGTGCTGCCTTCTCTTCTTTTCTGTGCTTTTCTCGCGTCTGCTTTTCGGTTTCGCGTCGGCTGCTTTCCCTCGTTTGTTTCTCGCGGCTCCTCGCGTCTCTCTCTATAAAATGCCACGGGTCGGCCACCTCTGCGCCGCGGTCCTGTTATGATGTCCCGGGAGACACTTGCGCGCCATCGGAGTCCCCCCCGCGAAGCTCTTAAGGGAAACCGCTAAGGGACGGCGTTGCCCCGGTTCCCTTTTGGATTTCTTTGCCCCCTCTTGTCTTCATTTGCTCCCCCCGATCCTGCCCAAGGCGTGGCCGCGGTTTGCTCTTGTGTCGCCCATTTTGTCATCGGTTTCGCGTGTTGCTTTCTCTTCTCCTCTGTGCTTTTCTGGCATCTGGTTACCGGTTTCGCTGCGGCTGGGCAGCGGTCCCGGGACACAGAGCGGGCACCACTTGCCGCCTCGGTCCTGCGTGTGGCTCACTACATCGCGAGGGCCTTAGGCAGGGGTGGCGTGCGCGCTGGGTGCTTTGGCAGCCTCGCACTGGAAAGGATTCCGGCAGGCTCTTAATCGGTGGCCAATGGTTCTGGGGCGGCAGCTCGGCGAAGGGAATCGGCCTGCTCCTGATTCGTCTCGCCAGTTTTTTTTTTCGTGGCAGACGTGGGGCAGGTTTTTTCAAAAGCTTAACGCTTTCCAATTCTTAGACGGGACTGCATCATTTTGGAGAGGGGCCAAAATTTTCTCAACGTGAAGGGAAGACCCTGCAGCAGGCCAAAAATGCTAGCAAACAAAAAAATCAAAAGGAGGGCAAAGACCAGGGAGCACCGGCCGGGTGCTGGAATCTGCTCGGGCTAAAAGCCTAAACGCCGGGCGGGGGTAGAACGTCCAAGGAAGGGGCTCGCCTGATAGCTACGCCGCGGGCTTCTAGGTGAGAGGATGCAAGTAGCTGCAGCTTATGCGGCTGAACTCCTTTCAAACGTTTGCGCAGCACTCTGCTCGCACTCTTCTAGGAGCTCCCTAGAATCTTCCCGGCTGCTTTCCCCCAACTTTTGCAGCAGCTTCGCGGGCGCCGTTCTCTTGTCGTCGTCGCCTCCTAGAGGCCTCCCACTTCTAGGCTTCGGGCTTGGGTGGGGTGGCTCTATCTGCTTGCTATCGTCAGGCTTTAAAGCCTCGCAGGCACCACGCTGGGCCTGTTATCTTTGTCCTGGTTCACCGGCGACGCTTCAAGGAGCTCCTTCGCCTTAGCATCCACCGACGCCAAGAGCCTGCCGGAGGAATCGCCTTCGCTTCGAGTGTTGTGCTCACTCGCTGGGAGGTCTCCATCCCTCAGCCCGGGGGCATCTCTTTGCTTGTCATCCACAGACTTCAGCAACCTCCCCTCCCTGGGGATCCGTTCAGGCTGAGGCTAATGCCCTTGCTGTTGCTTCCTAAAATTCTTCTACGTCCACTAGAAGAAGCTGGCGCGGCGGCGGAGTATGCTAGTCAGGTGCAGCTACTAGAGGCACGCAGTCGGTGTTCGCTAGTGGTCGCATCTTAGCTACGAACTGCGCGCCTTCGGTCTTAGTTATGAACCGCATTGATTACGGAAAAAGAAAAAGCCAAAAGGCTCGCGCCGGTGGAGGCCCTTGCGAAGTCGGCCACTGAGCGCCTTTACTCGGTGCGAGCGGATTCGGCATTTTCTTACGAACACCCCCCGGCTCTATTCGTCATATTCTTACCAATGGAGGGCATCACCGTGCTCAAACTCAGAAACATCGCCCCAAGGTCGCAAACTTTGCGCCTCCGGTTCAGCGAGATGGTCCTGAGTAGCATCCGTCCCCCCGTTCGATTAGTGAAGAACTTGGAGAGAGTTGCTGCCCGGTTTGTTCTCTCACGGAGCGCGCTGCAATAATTCGCGTCGTAGGCTCACCTCTCAGTGCTACTAAGTCACTCCGCAGTCGGAAGCTGCTTACTCAAACGCTGACGCGGGCTGCTGGAAACGACCCGCACTAGATTCCTCGGCCGCCTGTCTCCAGCACGATGGCCAGGAAGCCCGTTTGGAACCCAGTGGCAAGCCCTCTGGGCTTCGCTCCCTTGCTTACCGCGGCCGAAAGGCCCAGACCTTTGAAGGGTTTTCAAGCTATGCGCTTGAAAAGTCGCGGCCTTTGGAGCAAGAGAGACCACGCCCGCGCGCCCGCTGGCTCCATCGTCCTGCAGCTTGGCAGCCGGGCCGCGATAGGCCGACGACGGCGGCGAAAATCCTAGCGCCGGTTGCCAGTTGGCCGAGTAGCTCCTGCTTTTGAGGGGTTTGCATGGTGAACGCCTGAAGCGCCGCGGCTTTTGGAGCAAGAAAGACCACGCCCGCGCACCCGCTGACCCCATGGTCCTGCAGCTTGGCAGCCGGGCCGCGGTGAGTCGACGACGGCGATGAAAACCCCCGCGCCGGTTGCCGATTGGCCGGAGGGTCCCCACGTCTGAAGGGCTTCCAAGCTGAACGCCTGAAGAGCCACGGCTGTTGCAGCGAGAGAGACCACGCCCGCGCGCCAGCTGGCTCCATGGTCCTGCAGCTTGGTAGCCGGGCCGTGACAGGTCGACGGCGCACGCGGGCCGCCTTCCGCTTGCTTTCTCCCCAAGGGCCCCGGACTCTTGCGGACTCCACACGGCAAAAGCCGAGAAAAATAGGGACAGCGCGGAACCCGGTCGGAGCTTTCTCTGCTCCCGATTGAAAACGCGCGGCTTTTGGTGCCGTAGGCCGCTAGGGAGGGCGATCGCGGCCCTGCCCCCACGCGCCCGCCACTCCCTGGGCTATCGCTTCCGCGGCGGCTCGCGGCTCGCTCTGCCGGCCGCGGTCGCGAAAACACGGGCCAAAAGCAGCGCTTCCGCAAACCTTCGTCGCCCGACCTAGCCCTTAGGGCCTATCGTGGTCCCGCCCTCGCATGAGGAAGGACGGCCGCGCGCTTCACTGGTAGTCGGAGGAGAATAAACCGCCGAAACGCGTAGCGCCCGCGGGCCCTAATAGGGTGTTTTTACTTACCGGATGGTGGTCGGGGGGGAGCTCAGTGCCGCGGGCCCGCCCGGCGGCGCCACACGCTTCCCCGGCATTCCCACCGGCGCGGCAGTAGCCCTTTACGGTGCAGCTAGTACCACCGAGGGGGCGCTTCGCTGCAGTCGCGCGGGAGCCGTGCGCACGCGTTCCGCACGGCGCTGTTCTCCTCGTCGGAGGCGCTGCGCCGTGCTGCCCGCTGCGGTCGCGCGCGCGGTGGTGCACCGCTTTCGAAGCCGCCGCCTATGCGCGGCCCCGGGGCGCATGCCTGTTCCGCGTTCCGGTCCGCGGCGCCTGCAACTTCAGAAGCGCACACGCCTTCAGATTGCGACAGGCCCCGACGCTCCAAGCGCCGTAGCCCGGCCTCCTGCGGTTCCGTGCTGCCGCCTCCCTCTTGCAGTCCGGCCGCCCTGCCCGCTTCCTCCGTCGCGGCCCGGTCTCTAGGCCCCGACACCGCGGGCGGACTCAGCGGGCCCGCCTCTGATTGCACGGCCGCAAGGCCGACCGGCGGGCCGCAGACAGACCGGGAGCACCACGCCATGCCGGCGGGGCAGTAAAGCCTCAGAAAAATGCGCTGCACCGCACGACTTTTTTTTTCTTGCACAAGGCAGACAGAGAGAGAGCGCGATCGCCGTTCTTTGCCGAGTGATTCTCGCCCACGGTTGCTACTGCTAGGTCTTAGGGCGAAATCACGCTGCTGCAAAGTTGAAAAAGCCTGCAAAGCTTATAAACAAAGCCATTGACGCATAAAGAGCTATAGGCGATCCCGGAAAATCCCGACTGACGCGATAGAGCCACACTGAAAAATGATTTTCCAAGTTTCGTCGGAGTGATTCCTTTTTCGTTTTCACGATAGGTGGATCTTCGTTTTAGTTTTTCTTGGTAGAACGAGGACAGCGAGTACCTCTATTTACACAAAATGTTTGAAGCGCACCACCGCGGGATGCACCGCGTTGAGGTACTGGCCGCACAAACTCTACCGAATTTCGGAATCTCTTGTGCAGCAGCAAGCGGCACGAACGGCAAGCAATTATGGCTTTCTGGATTATAATAGAAGAGGAAAACTGAAAATAAGCGAGTAGCCAACTAAAGTAAAAGGGTTCACGAGAGCGCTGCTCTTTCGGTATCTCTGTATTCTAATTCTAAGTAGTTACTTGGTCATTTTAGTTTTTGCAGGTGCCGGCGGGGCTCGATTTGCAGGGTTCATAACTTAACCAACCCTAGCCAGGTGTTCGAATAATTATTCAAAATTTAACAATTGATAGCGAGATATCTTTTGTTTCGAGTGAGATACAACTTGCACTACGCATCACTAGGCCAGTAGCTCTGGCAAAGCATTTTCTGTCGCTGCATCTCCTTGCTACGGATTGCTGTGTCGAGTAAAAATTGATGGAAGCCTTTTTTGAGCTGCATGGAAGTTTCCATTTTCTAACTTGAGCCCCACCCTCGATTATCAAGGCGGTCGTTTGTGGCGCAGCAGGTGGCATTGGCCAAACGCTGTCTCTTTTGTTAAGGAAGCCTGCCAGACTGTATTCTGCTATACATGGTCCAACTAGTATTTTTCTTGGCTAGTTGTACTTTTTCTTGGCTAGTAGCAGGAGGCTTCTGCAAGCATACCACCACCCATCAGGGCTGATGCAAGAATAAGGAACACAATTAGTGTCCCCAAATTCTACATCCTACCCACTCTAATTTTGCTCAAGTTAGAGCCTTGCATAGACGAGTTGGCCTTGTATGACGTAGCTCCCGTGGTCAAGGGCGTTGCAGTCGACATCTCGCATGTCAATTCCTCATGCAAAGTAGTAGGCGGATTTACGAAAGAAGGTACTGTAGTTTATATCTCAGCTCGTGAGTTGTATGAGAAACACTTTGAAGAAGAGGAACAGGGAAATGATTTTTTTCGGAATTTTAGGTCTCCACACCGCTCTTTCTGGTGCAAATATTGTGGTAGTGCCTGCTGGCGTACCAAGAAAACCCGGGATGACACGAGACGACTTATTCAATTACGGAACAAGCTGCGAGATATTTTTTGTCTAACCCGGGATAACTAGGAGATCTATCTACACCCCTCTTTGTCTAACGCATCAGTCCTCTCACAGTCGGCGCATCTGAAAATAAGTGACGACCTATAGCGAACTGACTGCAGATGAAAGTCTAAGTGAAACAATGTCAGCTATTGTTCTCGAGAAGTAAATTGTTTTTGGCTCTTCAGTAGCCAACCATGTCTGTCGCTCTTTATTGGGCAGACAAATACGTAACCTAACCTCTAAAGTATATTTTTTCTAATTTCATTCTTAAGTACATTTTTTTCTTATTACATATAGCTCTTTTTTCTGATTATAGCTGCGTCTAAGGTAGGGTGAATGCCGGAATCAATGCAGACCTTGCGGTAGCCTGTGCAAAGTCGTGCCCTAACGCGATGTTCCTCATCATCAGTAACCCAGTGAACAGCATGGTGCCCATATGGAAAGGAGTGCTGGAGAAGTGCGGTATCCAGTTTTTGTATGCGGTAAAGTTTAAAAGTTTAATGTGGTTTCTGTATGTGTTTCTTGCGTGTAGTCTCGTAGCATTTTCTTGCATGGTGGTGCCGAAGATGTTGGGCTTTGGAGCTTACGTTGGTTGATGACTTTGGAATATGTCACTTTTGAATGAAAATTGTCGCGGTCAGGTTGTTACGACAAGCGGAAGCTTTTTGGTGTAACGACATTGGATATTACACGGGCAACCACTTTCCTATCTGAAAAGTTGGGTCTTCCACCGCTGAAAGTGCATGTGCCCTGTGTAGGCGGACACGCGGGAACAACGATTTTGCCGCTGCTAGCAAGGAGCACCTACTTATGACTTGCAGTGGAGGTCGTGACGCCGTGTTCATGATGTCACTCCGCCTGTTGCTTCAGTAGTTAATGAATCAAAGGAAAATATTACTCATTTCACGAGGAGAGAACATGGCCGGGGACAACTAGAGAAGCCGAGAGAACAAGCGGCCGAGTCTCTAACTTCATGCCCATGGTGTCAGGATTGCTTTTCACTAGTTTTTTACTCACACTAAAAGCGATAGCGACGACGAGGATTTACTATCACAGCTCCATGAGTAAACGAACTCCATTTGCGGACTATCTGCCACGAAATACAAGTGCTCCCTATAATCTTGATCGCTTGAGGCACTAAAGTAGAACAGCCTGTTAGCTTTCCCTGCTCTATCCTTAGGCCTATCCCTTCAAACATCAGAGAAATTCGTCGAACACCAGAAGAGGCCCAGGGAAGTCGTAGGTCCAATCCAAGCCGACTATCATCGTCATTCCTTCAGGCCACCTCTCTGCATCTCCAACACCTCCAAGAATTTCCTCTCTTTCATCTTTGATTTCCGATGGCAAGTTGGACCAAAAAACCGTAGAAGCTTTGCGAACCCGTATCCAGTTTGGCGGAGACGAAGTAGTCAAGGCCAAAGATGGCGCTGGCAGTGCGACTTTGTCCATGGCATACGCTGGTGCAGGTTTTACAGCTGCTATAGCGAAAGCGATGCGAGAAGGGAAAGGAGATTTATGGAACAAAAGTGTCTCAAAATAGCGTCTTGATGATAGGATTCGTCGTATAATAAAACTAAGGATCATCACATTGAGGTTTATGTCAACATGAATCCTGTCCTCCTTGATCTTCGGCTTATAACACTATACCAAGAATCACGACAAGGTTTCTTATTTCAACGTCTTCAATCAGGTCCTCCTCCTCGTCCACCTTTTCTCTCTTATCTAGCATAATTCTGTCCAAGTACGACTACGCAGATGTTGCGTTTGAAAATCAGATTCAACGTGCCATTGACAACCACGTCTTGATGCTTTTTTCTTCCACCATTTAAATCCTTCTAACAAGCGAAAGTGTCATTCGCACTTGCGCTTTCGTGGATAGCGAGGTTGTGCCAGGTTGCGGATTCTTGGCCACTGAGATTCTGATCGGCAAGAATGGGGTCACGGAGATAATTTCGCCCTTCGACATTATGTCAGATGATGAACGCGCTGCATTCGACAGAATGATGCCAGATCTGAAGTCGCAAGTCCAAAAGGGGTTCGACTTTGCGAAGGAATATCAAGTGAAGTCGTCCTAGATACACTTTCTGTTAACTACCCAATCATCGACTTAGCGTAGTACGAACAGGTCAGAAAACCTGGAGTTTTTGAGAAGTTGGAGTTCGTAGGTTTACCTATTACCATTTTGGACCAAACTATCTAGAGCAACTAATTTTTTCGTCTTGCACAGACAGTATAAATATGATTCCGTGGAGCAAGATATTCCGTGGAGCAAGTTTTTGGCTAACCATTCACTCGACAGCAGGAGTTCATCGGGTGAACAATCGTAAGACAACTTTCAGAGGGCTCAGAATTTCTTGGCACTGCTTAGGTGGGGTCGCTTAAGTAGTGAAAGTTAATTAGTCGCTTAAGCGAGGCTTCGCACACCACTCAGTTGGGGTGGCTTAAGTAGTGCCTGCTAAGTGGTGCGGTCACTGCTGAAGCGAGGCACCGAGGCGCTTGAGGGACGCGCCGAGGAACTCAAGGGAGGCCCCGAGGCACTTACGGGAGGCCCCGAGGCGCTTGAGGGACGCGCCGAGGCACTTATGCGAGGCCCCGAGGCGCTTGAGGGGCGCGCCGAGGCAGATCCGGGTCTCCCGAGGCACTTCCGGGAGCCCCCGAGGCATTTCATGGAGGCCCCGAGGCGCTTGAGGGGCGCGCCGAGGCACTTATGCGAGGCCCTGAGGCGCTTGAGGGACGCGCCGGGGCTCTTACGAGACGCGCCGAGGAACTTGAGGGACGCGCCGAGACACCTGGGGGAGGCCCCGAGGCACTTCAGGGACGCGCCGGGGCACTTACAGGACGCGCCGAGGCACTTAAGGGACGAGCCGGCGCACCCTCAACGGGCCTAGTAGATTGTGTAATATTCATGTCCAGTTCTATCTGGCGCACGAGTGGACTTTTTGAAGTAGTAAGACTAGATGAAACTGAGTAGTACAGACTATGGTTTACTAGCAGGAAACTTTGAAAAGACCATTCCGAATGTTGCTTATTTTCCTTTGCTATTCCTATTGGAATAAAGACGCGATATCCAATCTTAGTGGACCCTTCGGTTTCTTAGTAAGCAAAGCTGCGTCTAGATAAATCCCAGGCGATGAGCGGCAGGCATCCATCGTCCTTCTGGAGTATTACTAGTATCGAGATTTTCGTGAAAATCCTTGAAATGAACATCACTATCTCTTTGAAATGGTGAACATCACTGTCTTCTTTTATCATTCGTGAAAATCTTCGTGAAATAAAACGTCACTATCTCTTTGCGTCCTTATAGATCTTTTTGTTCTTTCCCAAGAGATAATGAAAAAGCTGCATACGGGATTAATATGGCTATGGGAGGAACTTCTGACCAGGAAAACGGAAAAGGCGTCTTGATGGTGTTGTACGCTAAATGATTTTCTTGCAACATATGTCGTCGAAAAGACCGCAAAAAGCATCGTCGGAATGTCAAATCGGACAAGCATACGAAAGCAAAGTAATTTCGACATCAAAGGAACCAACGAACAGAGGTGTCAGAGGCAGTAAGAGTCGGTGAGGAGTGAAGAGCAAGGAATCTCCCAGAATGTCTGTAAATTTCTCGTTGTACTATCGGAATATCGGAAAGTGGCAATACTTGTGCGTATTTTCGCGACAAGAGCCTCGATCAATAATGCTGCCCTTCTTCCCCGTCCTTTTCCTCCCTGATCCACGGCACATAGTACTCAAGACCATGATACGAAACAGAAAAACAGCTTCTTCAAGACTTGACTGTTTGATACTATCCCATCAATCTTAGGCAGGTTGCCGAATAGATTCACGTCATCAATACTATCCTATCCAACCGGCATGGTTTGAGTTTGTTATTCACAAATTCGTGCTGAAACTGGACAGAACTTATTGAGCGATAGGTCTAAAAGTGTTAAGTACTTCGAATTGTTATATCTCGTCACGCATACAACGAACAAGTCTACTTGTGAGTAATCATTTGAATTGTTATAATATCTCGTCACACGACTACATACGATTACGAACAACGAACAAGATGCCGCCAAAAACGGCTGCCGTTCAACAGGTCGAACAGAAAGTCGAGAACTTCGCGCAGACGTTTTTATGACTCATTCTCAATAATAAAATCATCTCGTTCTACTTCCACATCACCGAAGCAGAGTGAGGACTTGTAGTTCTATCTTGGTTTTATTGGAGGTCATCTTCCTTACCCACAGACACTAACGCCTCCTACTCTTCTAAGCCCCGGCGATCGGCAATTTACTGCCTTACAGCAAGGACCAGAGAGTGGGGGCGAACCACTGGATGCTGGCTTCTTTCTCAATGCGCTGCAGGAAGACGGCAATGCTTTCGACAAGAATCTGGCTCTGGATCGCGCAGCGATCGAATTTGCGGAGCAGTATTTTTTGAAGTTACATTATTTTTATTAGAGGAATTTGAAGTTACACTTTCTGATTCTTCCATGTAGGATTGATTTGAGCACAAAATCTGATTACTGATATAATTCCCTTTCAACAACAAAGGAAACGTCGAGAGTTGATGCCTCCTGAACCTCCAGACGCATCATGGATGTTTTGCATGCGGGAGAATTTCAAAGCTCGTTGGTACTTCATTTTAAGGTTTACCACATGATTGCATCCCCGACATCAAAGATCCCTGACTGTTTTCCATGGGGACCTCTAAGACGTGCCTATGGCAGTCTGTGCAGATCTCGCGCGAGGAGATTCATTGTATTGTGTTGTAAGAGGAGGTGAGCGATGTTCTGTCGGATGCAATAGCGCAATCTCTAATCATTATCATCGCTCTGCTCGTCGGTACGTGGGGTCAGCTGTGCTTCATTCTGGCGCCGTTCAATGCGGTGTATCGCTATGCGTTTTGGGCTGATGTCTCGGAGGGGCTGATTGTGATGCTTTTATGGACATACGAATGTTGGAAAAATTGGATTTGCAGATTTAGTGTAACGTTTAGGAGGATCTTACCTCTCGATGTCGTAGATCTTCATGATCTTGCATTCCCAAGGAAGTTCCTCTCTCTCTCTCTCCGTCTCCCCTACCCTCACTAGGTCGCTATTCTTACTCCTTATCTTCCCCATAGTTAGAGTACAGCTGAGCTCCTCATCCTCATGCTATCCTCGAACCCCAATGAGTTAAATTTCATTCCTTTCTCTCTCTCTCTCCTCTGATGATGTTAGTCGGTTCGGATTGGACCTACGACTTCCCTGAATCTTCTTTGAGTTCTACGAATTTCTCTGATGTTGAAGCTGTGAGGGCGCCCCACGGTTTCTACTCTAACTCCACTTGGTTACACATGGGCGATCTTCATGCTGATGTCGGTGCAGCTCTTCGGCTACTCGGATTACGACTTGCACATGATGGGCTATGACGTCACGTCGATCGAAGTTAAGGGTAGAAGTTGATCACTATCCCCTGTGGACAATGCTGAGAAGTGGAGTCCTTGTTCTCGCTCGATCATTTAAGGGGGGGGGGACTAAGCGGCAAAGAGGGCAACTGACTCGACTCGGGATCGTGAAAAACTACCTTTAACGAAGGTCGTGCCAATTTGAGGGCGTACCGACATCGGTGCACGATGGCCCCGCCACGATTTCGCGCTGATCAAGAATTACATGTACTACTTATTTTGTCGAGCAGATGAATAGTTCTCTCTCAAAGCACTAAAGTATCAGATTTGATATATAAGGAAGAAGGTCATCTAGTTGTTGGAAAGTTGTTGTTGGAAAGGTGTCGTAAGGACAAAGTATTGTTGCAAAGCATTGTTGGAAAGAGGAAAGTTGTGTCAGAAGTATATATAAATCAGACGTTCATCCTTTGAACGGAACATACTAAATATCTAAGCCGCCCTATCTTCTAAGCAGCTACACGACCCAGGACTGCTGTCAATGATTGAGTTTGATAACCCTCAAACCCTCTCACAACGAACCCTCTCCTCTTCAGCCCGCTTTGTTATCTGGTGTCCAAGCTGAGAGTTTGCAAGATCTGCATCAGGAGTTTGACGCTGCGGTCTCAGCGTATGAGCAAGTATTGGAATCCGCCGGCTACGACTCCAATAACCCGAATCAGGTTATGGAGAAGCAGGGTTTTGTAGTAGTGAACTCATTAGTAGACGTATTGATGTTGTCTACCCTACTCACGGTATGTTGGCAGAGCAGCTTTTGGAAGGACTAGTAGATTTGCTAGTAGGCAAGTAGTGCCTAAGAAATGATGAAAATATGACCGGTGGGATGGCTCTCCAAAGGAGGTACTGTCAGACTGGATGGCCTCATAAGTAGACACTAATAGCTACAGAAGAGGCACAATGACATGAAATTACCAAGTGTTATAATTATGCTAATCGCATCATTGTTTTTATTTTTTTCTCAAGAACAACACACCGTTGAAGATGTACCTTTCTTCATATGCGAGGAAGATGAAACGTTTCAGATGAGCATTATTTCTTCGATGTTCGCGGAAGCGGAGGCAGCGGAACTAGCACGCCTTCAATTTACAGCTGCTGGAGGAGCAGCAGGCTTATGCTATAGTTCAATCTGGTGGCACCACTGTTAATCTTGTAGACTACATTTACTGAAGATAACCTCGTAATGATGTACAGCTAGAGTATGCTGTACATACTGATAACCTGTAAACTACGTGGTAAATATGCCACTCGTAGAGAATATCATTCACAAAATACTTATGTAAGTTTACGTATCTACCAAAAAGTGTTTTTAAGAACATGTTGAACTTTGCCTAGTTGACCTGCTTGAAGTTTTAGGGTTTCCGAAAAGTGTTTCTGTTTTCAACCTAGCTTCAAAGCGTTGCCTAGTACTTGAACTACTGCTTGAACTGCTAGTTGGACGACTGGCTGAACTACTAGTTGAACTACTGGCTGAACTACTAGTTGAGCCTCCGGCTGAATTACTGCTTAAACTACTGGCTGAATTAATTGAACTAGTTGAACTCCCGCTTCTAATCCCTGCAGCAGGAAGAACAGGCCCAGTTGCCGAGGAATATGAGGGAGCGGAATTCGGTGGAACTGAAGTATTAAGGCCTGCGCTAATCCATCTTCTGAAGCATCCTGAGTAGGCTTTTCAAGGGGAGAAGGGGAGCGGGATGCTTCTCAGGATGCATTAGGGTGAGCTCTAAAAGTAGCGGGCACCGCGAATCTCGCACTCGCTGCAAGAACAGCTTTATGAATGGCTACTCTATTTTCCTACACGTCTAGTAGTCTCTTACTCTTACTCTTCCTTTGTTAATCTATTCTCTTATCCTACTTTTCTACTCTGTGTGTAATATTTACATTTTGTTTTAGTGTCTCTTTTTTGTTTTAGTAGGAAGCAAATAGCGAGCAAGTAGAAGCGCCGCATCCACATAGTCAACTTTTTCAACACAACAGTTTCAACATCAGGGAAATCCGTAAAACTCAGAAGAGATTCAGGGAAGTCGTAGGACAATTCCGAACCGACTAACATCATCA